CATTTCTACCTTCTCCTCTCTGTCAACGCTCTCTGGTTTCATTTAAAAGAGTCGATCATCAGATATTGTCCAAGATTAACCTTCAGGGTGGATATAGGTCCCTAGCAGCCTTGTCACATAACACCTACAGTAGTAAAGTCATCATTTACCTGGTATGCTTTGCAGAGTACATGTGGCAACATTACTGTGATAGTACATTTTTTAATTCATAAAAACTAAACAGCCTACCATCTTTTTACAGTCTTTGTTTTACAATTGAAGTTAATGTTTATCAAATGTCTAAAGTTACAACTAGTTGTGGTTCTCTTTAATATTCCACGTTATGCAGAATAAGGTTCGAGTGCAGTTTTACCTAATAACTTTAGAAATAGTTTGTTTTTAGCAGTCTTTCAGCCACAATAAACTTCCGTCATTTCCTGTATCACCACACATTAAAACAACCATATATCTCATTTTGAATTTAGATAGCTGAAGAGAAATGTCAAACAGTGTTGGATTTTTAATTAGTTTAATTTCATATATTTTCATTTAGGTTTTTAAAAATGGAAAAACAAATAAACATTATTTTGAAATGGAAAAACCAAAGAACTAACCCTACACAGATTAAAATGCTACAACATGCAGTGGTGGTTGAAAGGAACCATTTTGACTCAGACTGAAATGATTGCTCTGATCTTTGAGGACGACTAAAAGCTTTCCATGGAGTTTCATGGCACTTAGGGGCAAATTGAAATCATATTTTCTGCCTTTGTATTGGAAAAAAGAAAAACAAATCATGAATCCAGATTGTTTTCTTACCGCGTGCACACTGCAATCTTTACAAACACAGTAAAGTGGAGATTATCTGGGAACTCTGTGTTCATGCAGCTCAAACAGCAGCCAGTATTTGACAGCTGAACGGTGCATGACATTTTCCCTGGTAGAAAACACAGCCTGGCACGCAGACTCATTTTCATTTAGCTTCAGAGTTTCAAAACATGGCAACAGGTCATTCTTAGAGAGGAAGACCATCATGAAAACAAAAATAAAAATAACCTGTGCTTACATCAGTGATTTATTTTGAACCATGTTTAAACTGCAGCTTTCACTGTATTTTATACGCGCTTCATTTTAGGCTTATTTTATGGAGGATGAATTAAAACATACATCATTTCTGCAAGTTGGAGGTAAATTCAAGAAGAAACAAAATGTATTTTAAGACCTAAATTAATATGGGGGGTTATTTAGGTTCTTTTCAGGCCTAAAGTTGAGAATATTAAATGTAAGACTTTATAAGACCCTGAATAGAGTAGCAGTTGTGCACCGTCACTTCAAGATGATTCTGTTTCAAACAGAAAATCAGAACCACTTTTAGAAAAGAAGACGTGTTGTGGGGAATTCATTTTGTTTGGATAAACTGGAAACAACTAAATAAACTGGTTTACTAAGTACTGATAAAGTAGTTTTTTTTGTCTGATTGTCCTTTGCTCCAGTATTTGTTGTGCTTTTTGAGGCTGTAACAGAAGAAACTAAACTTGTGGCTTCACATTAAGAGTGTATACATTTACATGAGTGATGTCCCAATACTGATACCAGGGTGGTTAGGAGACTCATCTTCCTATGCGAGAGTTGGCGGTTCGATTCCCCCGCTATTCTGTTGCATGTTGACGTGAACTCCCACTGCCTCTGATAATGATCTTTTTTTATTTTCATTACTCTGATATTGAGTTGTGCTGCACAGCCTGACCTTCACTGCCAACCTTAAACTTTCAGATTTTAGTTTTATTTAACATTTATATGCGAAGTGAGGCAGGACTTCAGCTTAAAATGTCAGGGTACTGTTGTCAAATAATTTATTTTCTAGTCCTATTTATCAAAAGACAGGAAGAGCTGAATATAAACTTACTGTTGTATATTACTGAAAATAGTCAAATGAATAGAATTTTTTACTTTAGATTTTTGAAATCTAAAAGTTATTTTAGATGCAGATAATAACATGTAAATGTGTTTGTCCTCACATTGATAGAATATTTAAAGTTTTCTGTTTTCAATAAAATTCAAATTGTTTTTTAAATACTTTCTGGCATAAAAGGAGGTGGGCTTTTGTATTTATTCTTAATCATGACAGTTTCAGTCCTCAGTTTAAAGCTAAATGCAACAGATCAGTTAATCAACATACTGCTTTAAAACAAAAAGAAAACTTGAAACATTTCTTTACTCCTGGTTTAAACACTTACAGTCTGTGGATTAATCTTCCCCGTCATCAAAGCCAGCAGGTCTGTATCGGACATGGAGATGGTGCAGTCGGCCTTCTTATCTGAATGGTGGAGATACAGAGGAGGTGCACCACTTTAAGGTTGGACAGATTTGTTCATTAACTTCATGATAATACTGAGATGAGTAAACTTTAGACCATCTCTCCACCTTTGATGGTACAGATAACAGGTGATAACTGGTGATAACTGGCAGTAACATGGAGACTCCAGGGTTTCTTACCTTCGTCGTTGTTAACGCAGCCTTTACCGTTCTTTACATCCACCACCCAAGTTGCTTCCTGTCCATTCGGGCCGTCCTTCACTTTGAAGGCAAACACTCCTCCAATCTTTTTCACAAACTGATCCCCTTCCTACGAAACACAGATTTTACATGTTGTGAGTCGAATAGACCTGTTTTATTTGACTTGGTGTCTGCCGTTTTCATTGTCAAAACCTCTGCTTAAATGTTGTCGGGGCTTTGATGCCTCGGTGTCGACCAAAAAACTGTTTTGATGGTAAAAAAAAAAAGCAGCCTTTCAGGGTCTCTGTGTTTACACTCACAGATAGTGGTTTGATTTTAAAAAGGTCAACAAGTCTAGAAACTGTGAACAAAGAATATCTTTTAATGTTAACCTGATGACAGGATGAGATTTTATAATAAGATGCTGTGATGTTGGCATATTCTTTTCTGAACATTATACAGTGGGGAAAATAAGTATTTAGTCAGTCACCAATTGTGCAAGTTCTCCCACTTAAAAAGATGAGAGAGGCCTGTAATTGACATCATAGGTAGACCTCAACTATGAGAGAAAAAATGTGAAAAAAATTTTGAGAAAATCATTTTGTCTGACTTTTAAAGAATTTTTTTGCAAATAATGGTGGAAAATAAGTATTTGGTCACCTACAAACAAGCAAGATTTCTGGCTGTCACAGACCTGTAACTTCTTTTTTAAGAGGCTCCTCTTTCCCCCACTCATTACCTGTATTAATGGCACCTGTTTGAAGTCGTTAACAGTATAAAAGACACCTGCCCACAACCTCAAACAGTCACACTCCAAACTCCACTATGGTGAAGACGAAAGAGCTGTCGGAGGACACCAGAAACCGAATTGTAGACCTGCACCAGGCTGGGAAGACTGAATCTGCAATAGGCAAGCAGCTTGGTGTGAAGAAATCTACTGTGGGAGCGATAATCAGAAAATGGAAGACATACAAGACCACTACTAATCTCCCTCGATCTGGGGCTCCACGCAAGATCTCAGCCCGTGGGGTCAAAATGATCACAAGAACGGTGAGGAAAAATCCCAGAACCACAATGGGGGATCTAGTGAATGACCTGCAGAAAGCTGGGACCAATGTTACAAAGGCTACCATCAGCAACACACTACAACACCAGGGACTCAGATCTTGCAGTGCCAGACKTGTCCCCCTGCTTAAGCCAGTCCATATCCAGGCACGTCTGAAGTTTGCTAGAGAGCATTTGGATGTTCCAGAAGAGTATTGGGAGAATGTCATATGGTCAGATGAAACCAAAGTAGAACTATTTGGTAAAAACACAACTCGTCGTGTTTGGAGGAAAGTGAATGCGGAGTTGCATCCAAAGAACACCATACCAACTGTGAAGCATGGGGGTGGCAACATCATGCTTTGGGGCTGTTTCTCTGCAAAGGGACCAGGACGACTGGTCCGTGTACATGAAAGAATGAATGGGGCCATGTATTGTGAGATTTTGGGTGCAAACCTCCTTCCATCAGCAAGGGCAATGAAGATGAAACGTGGCTGGGTCTTTCAGCATGACAATGATCCCAAGCACACTGCCAGGGCAACAAAGGAGTGGCTTCGTAAGAAACATTTCAAAGTCCTGGAGTGGCCTAGCCAGTCTCCCGATCTCAACCCCATTGAAAACCTTTGGAGGGAGTTGAAAGTCGGTGTTGCCCGCCGACAGCCCCAAAACATCACTGCTCTAGAGGAGATCTGCATGGAGGAATGGGCCAACATACCAGCAACAGTGTGTGCCAACCTTGTGAAGACTTACAGAAAACGTTTGACCTCTGTCATTGCCAACAAAGGATATACAACAAAGTATTGAGATGAACTTTTGTTATTGACCAAATACTTATTTTCCACCACTATTTGCAAAAAAATTCTTTAAAAGTCAGACAAAATGATTTTCTCAAAAATTTTTTCACATTTTGTCTCTCATAGTTGAGGTCTACCTATGATGTCAATTACAGGCCTCTCTCATCTTTTTAAGTGGGAGAACTTGCACAATTGGTGACTGACTAAATACTTATTTTCCCCACTGTATTTATGACAACACTGTAAGTCAGGAACAAAAGGAAATATCTCCCATCTGAAAACATACAGACAGACCGTCTATCAAACGAGGACATTTACCGTCAGGTTTGACTGTTCTATGATCAAACAAATTTCCTAGATCAGAAATTTGGATATTGTTCTGATGAAGTTAAACTGAACTTGTTTAGATCTGATTGTACATCACTATATCAAAATATTGAAAAAATATAAAAATATTAATTTATTAAAATATCACATTAAAGATACTGAAGGAAAATTTGTAACTGATTAAATGTTTGATGCAGTATTATATTTTTATACTTTCTGATCATTGCAGCCATAAGGCTAAAACAGAAAGAGTTGTGTTATTGAAGTGTTCTTTCTGTCTGCATCGACAAAAGCTGGTTACGTTCCGACGTCTGACGTAAAACTTACCACCTTCAGGGGTGGAACCAGGGAGAGCCTGCAGAGCTTATAGGGTTGAATCATTATGAGTGGAAGTTTACTTTTGACAGTCTCTCTGTTAAGACCCTGTCACACTAGACAACTTACGAACATTTTAAAAGACATCTACAGTGAAGATGGAATTGAAAAAAATCAACAGGAAGATGTGTACATAATGTAAGTCAAACTAATTTATCAAATATATAACTTTTAGTAACAATTTGGACATAAAAAATGTTTCATAAGTTGGCGTAAGTTGTCTAGTGTGACAGGACCTTAAGGTCTACAAGTTGTGGGAACCCTTCTTCAATTATTTTACTAGTTTTTGAACTTAAAACTCAACTTCCAAAGAAGTAGAGTTTGTGTTTTGAAAGGCCATTGCTTTGTACAAATATAAAAATTAAATCTTTGTTCTGGAGGAACATATTGGAGAATGAGCTCCACACTTGACTAAAATCAAGAATTTATAAAACGCCTTCAATCATTGCTGTCATACTTGTTCACGTTTTGTTTCAATCTAAACCCTATTAAACAACAAAATGTGTGGGTTATTATTTCGTTTGCTTTAAATTGAAAATAAAAATATCTTTGACAAGACAAACCTTGGAGACGGGCCCTGCTGAGTAAAAGATGTGAACGTAAACCATTTAAAGCTGCATTTCTACACACAGAATAATGTTTTATAAATATTTACCAAACATCAATAAATTCTCGAGCAAATCCCACTTTTCTCCACAACAAAAACTTTAACATCTGACTTTATTTCAGTCTGTTTAACGTGTTGTCCTTGTTTGTATTTGCTCAGGAGGTGACGGGGATTGTATTTGACGTTTTTTAAATAAAAAAGGTACGGTCATGGGAAAAATCAAGTCCATCCTGTTTTATTTCTAGGAGTTGATGCAGCAAGACTTTCACTTGTTTGTAAAATTATTCAAATTTGACCTCAAATGTAGAAAAACACAACAGATTTCTAAGACAAAACAGACAAAATGAACAAATGTGTACAAGTGGGGTAATAACAGTGGTGGGCAGCACTAATCTAAAAATTTGTTCCTCTAGCCCTAAAGCACTAACTCAAATATTTAGGTCCCCTAATTCTAAAGCACTAACTCAAAAATTTAGGTCCCCTAATTCTAAAGCACTAACTCAAATATTTAGGTCCCCTAATTCTAAAGCACTAATGCACTGAAAGTTTAACAAAAGCTAATTATAAAACAATAAAATAACCCAGTCAACCTATAAACATTCTTCAACAAACATGAGTCATATGTTAATCTCTTAAGACTTACCATAGACATTCCACAGCTGTATTTGAGTTCATATGTTAACAATGTGTCACCTTGTAGATAAGTGACATAAATAACAAAATGAGAGACAATTAAAAGAATAGTTAAAAACAAAAACAACTAAACTTTCAGTTCTAAGGTTGAAGACGTTTTACTTCCCATCCAGGAGGCTGGATGGGAATGTGTGACAGTTTTCACCCTCAGCTGTTAACATTAATCAATAACATTTAAAGACCTCAGTTAGTGCTTCTAAATTTAGCGAGTGCTAATCCACTAATTCATTTTAAAATTAACAAAAGCCCTAAAGCACTAATCAGGAAATTTGTTCCCCTGTTAGTGCTTTAGTGGAACTGTGCCCACCACTGGGTAATAACTTGTAGGATCTTGTTCAACAGTGATCCATCTCATTAGTAGTTTTGTGTGAGACTTTTCTCCGTCCATCCCAGAGTTGTGGAGGGATCCTGACCCACTCTTTCTCCCAGTGTTGCTTCAGTTCATGGAGGTCTGCAGACGTGGGTTTCTGCCTACAGTAGGGTCCTACAGTGTTTCAGACAGGTGGCGGAGTGACACCGAGCTGCTGCTGTGTTTGGGATGATTGTCCGTCTGGTCCAAGCTTCAGCTGACAAGATGGTCTCATGCTTGACTTTAGACTCATGATGGTGGCTGTGAAACCAGCCCAAATCATCAACCCTCCAACCTCCAAGCTGACGCTTGGAGGTTGGAGGGTTGATGATTTGGGCTGGTTTCACAGCTGATATGAGGGGTTTGGTAACAAACATCAATACAAAGATGTGCTGTGAATTATATCCAGAAATCTATTTTGGTCTCATGTTTCATTGTGGATGTTAACTGCTAATTGAGGTCTGTAAAGTCTAAAATGGGATTTTTGTCATTTCTCCGAGCGTTGCACAGTCTGACCTTGGGGTGAAGCGGCTGAGACGTCCCCTCCTGAGAAGACTGACAACTGACCTACGTTTTCACTTGTGAATAAGCTTTCTGTGTAGAAGGATGGAGTCCAAATAAATGACCTTTGACCCTTCCCAGATTAAAGGGCAACAGCTGCTTCACTCAGGTCACTGCTGATATAGCTCCAGTTATTGTTGCAGCGATAACGATCAGCTGCACCTGCTGATACTTTAAATCCCACAGAACTGGATCCACGTTTTTCACTCAGCTTTTAGCTTCATTTTGTTCAATAAACAATGACGAAGTGGAATCTGTTGTGTGTTTTTGGACATTTAAGGTTAAACTTGAAGCATTTTAGAACATTAAACTTTTAACTGGAAGAAGACTTCACACAATATCTAAATGTAAACCTGACACAAATGCAGTTCCCTCAAAAACCTCCCACTAGTGTGAAAACACAGCTAGGATAGATTTTCAAAAATAAATAAATAAATAAATAAATAAATAAATAAATAAATAAATAAATAAATAAATAAATAAATAAATAACATTGTAAGACACTACAGCGTATCTTTAAGCTGCTAACTTGACCGACTCCCCCTGCTGCTGGGTCCTCAGTTAAAACATCTCATTTCTTCCACAGAGCACTGTCAGAGTCTGAGGTCACACAGAGGCGACGGCTGTAAAAGCAGCGAGTCGTGTTCGAACCTCTGCCTGACTGAGTCAGCATCAGCTTGAATGTATTTGTGTTCAGTAAACTGATCCAAATGTGCCATCATGAGCTCATGCAGATGTTTTCCATGTGAGCAGAAACGCAACACTCGGCTGGATGAACTCTGGTTTTAGGTAGGAAAAAACTATAAAGAGTTCCACAACACAGTTTTTAATTGTTAAAGTACTAAAACGAGTCTCAGACAACACACAGTCATTAATGAGATTAATATAAAGATGTTATTTTTTCAGTAATCTTGTGAGATAATCACCTCCTCCAGCTTCTTGCTGATTTCCTGGAACACAGCGTGCGCCTTGAAGCCCTCCAGTCCAGTGCTAGCACTGGTGTTGTTGGCTCGAATCCTTCACATGAAGAAAAGTAGATGCAGAAAAGCAGGAACAAAAAGGTTAGCTGATGAGTCGGTAAAAATAAATAAATAAATACAGCCCAGACAAAGAAATCACTGAGCACACAGAACAGTTACTATGAACCATATCTGCAGTTCTTCTTTTTTATTATTATTAGTTTGAACTTTCCCTTACAGGCCTAACTCTGAAAAGGTTGCGTAAATGATATTAATGTAACAGTGTCCAATGTTTAAACTAAGAAATCATATTTTTGAAACTTATTGCAGCAAAACATCTCCAAAAACTTGTCCTAGAGTCATGTTTCCCACTTGCCAGAAGAAGTGAGGAGATGAGATTTACTGTCTCTATCTGCTGCAGGATCCTAACTGTTGTAGAGAAATCCCCCTCGTCAAAATCATGAATATGATCTTAATTAAGAGTACCTCTAGGCTTGTGATGGTACTTGTTTAAACAAAACAATTCAACCACCAAAATACACACAGAAAACACACAAAGTTGTTCTTTTATTTTTGGCCAGTTAAAAACTAACTGACTTTTATTAAAGGATAATACTGAATGATTAACAAGTGGTTACAATGATCAGACAATAAATGAGCTCTCAATATAACAATTACGGTACTTTCTACTTTCAAGCAGTTGAACTAATCAATTAAGCAGTTTGTCTAACAATTTTAACTAAGCAAAAGCAGGTTAAATTTATGTACATTCAGGGTCGGTGTGTGTGTGTGTGTGTGTGTGTGTGTGTGTGTGT